TATCTATCTATCTATCTATCTATCTATCTATTTATCTATCTATCTATCTATCTATCTATCTATCTATCTATCTATCTATCTATCTATTGGACTATGTCTGTTGGTCAGAGATATAAATACAGACGTTCTGAAGCAGATGATGTCAGAGGAAACATTAGAGGAATGAAGGAATGAAAGGAGGGATGGAATGGATGACTGATTTCGGGGGAGGGGGCTGAGAGGGTCAGGTCAGACAGAAATGGAAACCTGGACCTTGTGGTGAAAAGGTGAAGACACATGCTGCCAGCACCGATGATGCCTCCTCAGTATAACAGAAGGGAAACCCCTTTACCTCGAAAGCACATGGAGAATGACTGATGAGAAACATGTGAAGATTTGCTTCAAATCGTTAAGATAAAGTTAAAGTTCTTCACGTGGAGTCTAAAATGAAACCTTACTTTAAAAAATAAAAATAACTACTTTCATACAACAACCCAGTGTATGAACACAACATGAAGACACAAGAGTTTGAGTGGCAGGTGAAACGTACTGATCATTTCCAAACGTGTAAAACCTTCAGGGGGAAGAAGGACGGCCTTCTCCTCTTGACCCAGCTTGACTCACAGCGGCCCGTCCTCGGTCTAAACTCACACCGGTGACTCTGGACAGTCACACCTCCAAAGGTACGGAAGCTCGGTGTGTCAGAGGAGTCTTAGGTTTCAGGCTGAGGAGGAGTTGGGATGAATCACAAAGTGTTTGGAGGAGGTTGGAGGGGGGGGGGGCGGTGCAGCTGAGGGGAGGAGTACGATGTCCTTCAGAGCTGAAAGCTGTGACAAGTATTTGGTGCCAGAGCAGCAGTGTGAGACTCGATTCACTCACAGGGAGGAATCAATCTTTGACTCTGAGACGAGTGCAGATAAAACATGGGAGTGTACAATGAACAAGGGTAAGAACATTCATCCTAAAATCAGAGAATCAGTGGGAATCTTGACTTGAGACTTGTTTTTCATCATTTAAATCGATTGAATCAAATTTATTGAACTCATTTAAACTTTTTAACATGTAATTCCTTATTCAGGATAAGATATTTAAATTGTAGCTTGTGAATCAATCTAAACTGAAATATGGTTGTAATGAACATGAGAATTTTTGGCTTTAAAGAAAGATATGACTGCAATATGTCCACAGCTTGCTCACGTCTATTTAATGTGTGTGTTGCAGAGGGGCCCTCGAGGACCCAGAGTCCCAGCACATGCTGATCAAAGAGAGTAAGGGAGGGTCCCCCCACCGTGGCCACGGGTCAAACCCCCTCCACAGTCGGCCCGGCAAAACCACAGGCGCCTCGGATAACGTGATGTTCATGGGTCAGTTTGTGTGAAGAGTTTCTGCATTTAAAAAAAGTAAAACTCTTAGCGATGTAAATGATGAGTGATTCTACTCCATTATACTCTCCTCCATGCAGAGGCTTCCAGCTTTAATTAAAGGGATTAAACACTATAGATGAATTCAGTTTATTGTGTTGGAGGGAACTGTCTATAGCTACAAGGCAAATTCATTTTGAACAGCAAAGTCATTTAAAAAGAATGGTTTGTGTTTATATGGAGCATTTTCAGTCTTGATTTTCACTCTTCACAGAGTAGTTTTGCCATTCACACATTCATACAGTGCATCTATGTGCAGCACACGTTCACTCACACACTAGCGACGCAGCCGTCAAAGCAACTCTGAGTTCGTTATGTTGGAAACTTGAAAAAGCAAAATAATACTAGAAAACAAAATGAGGCTTTTAAAAATGAATGAAAGAATAAAGAGTTAATAAATGTATACAGGGAGAATTAACAACGTGAAAGCAACAATGCAGTTTTGGGTTTTTTCTTTAATATGCTGTTTACCTTTCAGTAGACTTGCCTTCTTATTAGGTTTCTTATAATTTTGAGTTCACCTCCATCTCTCCTCGTTCTCCTCAACTGTTTCTCATGAGTTTAGAGAATCACAGCAAATAAGATGATTCAGACGAAAGAAGCCTGAAGAGAATTCTCTGACATTTGGCAAATATCCTTTTACAATTTGAAGGTTCTGTTTAAATTCTTTCTTTTGGTGTTTGCCACCAGTGGATGTGATGACATTGATAATCATCATGTTGCCCTGTTTTTTTTTTGGTAGTCGGGGGATGGACCCAGGATGATCCGTCCTGTTTGGTCGAGCAGTTCTGTCCCGAGTACAACGAGTGGAGATCAGCAGCTCGGATGGTCAACAACCGTGGAGCTGTGGCTGTGTGCTCGCTGGATGGACAGATCTACGCTGTGGGTGGAGAGGATAAAGTCAGATGTTTCAGCAGCGTGGAGAGGTGAGAGACAGTTCACCTCAGAGTGTCTTCCTCGGGACAATCGTTTCCTCTCATGTTTTTATCACTGTAAGCTCTTCAAGGCCGTAAGAACCTTGCATCATCTTGTTTTGTTTTTTATGTCACGTGCTGTTTTGAATTTCACGTCCCAGTTGAATTCAAACATCAAACTGCTGAGTCTCTGTGTTGTTGTAATTGGAAATTGTTTATTTTGGTCCATGTTTGTTTCCTGGTATAAGCTGATTTAAACTTACATAATTAACCATTTCATTGCCTCACACTGTTCTTCACAGTCATGGGTATATGTGAGTAACTACACTGAAACTGGGTGATGGTTTTAAATACCAATCAGCTATTGATTAGTTACGTAAGAGTTTAGGATTCATCTGTGGAGGATGAAGTCAGGTAAAAGTTTTCTTTACTTTTACTGTTTATACAAATTCATTTAAACCAGAAAGTGGCATCAATGAGATGTGTTTGACTGAGTTCACTTATAAAGTCAAAAAGATGCCGGTGTATCCATCCATCATCTGTAGAGTTGGGACCCAGGAGACAATTAACCACTCACACACATTCACTACAAGAGTCTCCTATTGACCTAAACTCAATCTGCCTGGCTTTGCTCTGCGGGAGGAACCTGGAGAACCTGGAGAACCTGGAGAACCCACACAGACGAGGGGAGAGCAGGCAAACTCTCGTGGTTGTATGTTACTGTAAAATCATCCTTGCATTTGAGGAATCTTCACTTTTTAAATATTACTATTATTATAACTATTGTTGTTGTTGTTGTTGTTGTTGTTGTTGTTGTTATTTGTTCTCTTTAAAATATGTGTCATATGCACCAAATCCACAAGAGGAAAGAGAGGTCACTTTTTAATTTGTTGTTGTAGTTTACATCTTTGGACACTAGAGGTCAGCATTAAAACAGAAATTAGATGTAGACTTTTTGACATTACAACAAAATCATATTATTTATGAGGAATACCCAAACTACTAAATACCCTTTTTACAGGATTTCTACACACACACGCACACGCACACACACACACACA